CCTGCCTCTGCCTCCCGAGTGCTGGGATTAAAGGCGTGTGCCACCAACGCCCGGCATTGTAGCAGGCATTTCTGATTGCTTTGGACACTCCTCCAACCTGGATGGGGTTTTAGAATCTGTCCCATAATATCCTAGGCAGCTGTGGCTAATCAATTAGTGCTGGTACAGCAGCTGAAATCCATTGGCCTCCTGGGCTTGTCTGAGCTGCCATTCATATATTGCTGAGTTCTGCCCAGTCCAAAGGTTTTTGTTTGTTTGGTATGCTTTTGGTGTTGGGGGTGGCACCTAGTGAGTTCCGTATCCTTCTAGATAAGCATATAGACAATATGTCTTTCATTGTTCTTCTCCCCTAGTTCTTCACTGAACATGGGAGCCTCAAGATCTTGGTGTATGAACTGGGAATACAGAAAAGTTGAGGGACATTTGAAGGGTACTCCCATGAATTGTTCAACTTTATGAAATGGTCTTTTCAGGCTTCTGCTAGTTTTCTTGATTATTTCAAGGAGAAGGGTGCTAGTTTTTGCTGCTGTTTTCCTTTCTTTTTCTTTTTTTTAAGATTTTATTTATTTATTATGTATAAAACATTCTGCTTCCATGTATGTCTGCACATCAGAAGAGGGCTCCAGATCTCATAAGGGATGGTTGTGAGCCACCATGTGGTTGCTGGGAATTGAACTCAGGACCTCTGGAAGAGCAGTCGGTGCTCTTAACCTCTGAGCCATCCATCCAGCCCTCTTTTTGGTTTTTTGAGACAGGGTTTCTCTTTGTATAGCCCTGGCTGTCCTGGAATTCACTCTGTAGACCAGGCTGGCCTCAAAACTCAAAGAGATCCGCCTGCCTCTGCCTCTTGAGTTCTGGGACTAAAGGTGTGTGACACCACCTCCTTGAGTTGTTGTTTTCTTTAAAGCTGTTTATTTAGGTGGTGCACACCTTTAGTCCCACCTCTCGGGAGATAGAGGCAGGAGGATCTCTATGTAGACCAGGCCAACCTGATCTATATAGCAAGTTCCAGGCCAGCCAGGGATACATAGTGAGACCTTGTCTCAAATGAAGTATCATTTTTATTTTATGTGTGTCTGTGTGCCAAGTGCATGTAGTGCCTATGGAGGCCAGAGGAGGGCATTGGCTCCTGTGGACATACAGATGCAATTACTATG